CAACCCAAGACCCCTGTTACGCGCCTGCTTATAAGTGGGGCCCCCCCACTTTGAAAAACGTTCCGCCGGCCCTGACAACTGATGCCAGACAGGGGTGTAGGAGGTGTCACTGGTTCTTAATGGTCAAATTTGATTGAATTTGGTTTAATCGTTTGCCATTAGTAACATTTTGAACCTTTGACCTATGAACTTTGACATACGGGGTAAACAGTATTTTTTTTTGTGTGTTTAGAAGGTCCTAAGGATCATTCCTGGTAAATTTGAACGCAATTGGGCTATTTTGAAAATTTAACTCCGATGACCCCTATGTGACTCCTGATCCCAGACTGGGGTGTAGGAGGTGTCGCCGGTTCTTAATGGCAAAATTTGATTGAATTTGGTCCAATGGTTTGCCATTAGTAGCATTTTGAAACGTCACTAGAGAGAACAAAAGAATAACCCTTTAATGACCTTTGACCATAAATAACTGAAAACCATTTAAGACCCTAACATATGCCAATACATATGTACCCAGGACAAGACTGTGCTATGTTATTTGTGATAGAAGAAGTCTTTTATTCATTTTTTGAAAGTTTTTTACCCTAATGACCCCTATGTGACCTTTGACCCCAAGCAGGCGAACACCCCCATGTATGAGAGGTGTCACCGATTATACTGACAAGGTTTGGTTGAAATCGGTACAACGGTTTGGCACTAGTAGCGTTTCAAAATTTTGCCAGAAAAAAGATAAAAATTACCACTTAATGACCTTTGACCCCTTATCCCTGAACACCCTATAGACTCTGCCTTATGCCAATGTATATGTGCAAAGGACAAGACTGTGCTACGTTATTTGTGAGACAAGTAGTCTTTTATACGATTTTTGGTTTTTTGACCCTAATGCCCTTTATGTGACCTTGGACCTCAAGTTGTGAACAACACATAGATGGGAGATGGCACCGGTCCTACTAACCAAGTTTTAATTAAATCGGTCCAGTAGTTTGCCACTAGTAGCCTTTTAAAATGTTGCCAGAAAGAAAGAAAGAAAGAAACTGCTAGGAAACATAACCCAGTCAGCATGCTGCTGACTGGGTAAAGAAGAAACTGCTAGGAAACAGAACCCAGTCAGCATGCTGCTGACTGGGTAAAGAAAGAAGGAAGAAACTGCTAAGAAAGAGAACCCAGTCAGCTGCTGCTGACTGGGTAAAGAAAGAAAGAAACTGCTAAGAAAAAACAGAACCCAGTCAGCATGCTGCTGACTGGGTAAAGAAACTGCTAAGAAACAGAACCCAGTCAGCTGCTGCTGACTGGGTAAAGAAAGAAAGAAGAAACTGCTAGGAAACAGAACCCAGTCAGCATGCTGCTGACTGGGTAATTATTATTAATATAATTAATAGTATAAAAATATGATAAATAACTCGCATGCGTAAATGTCAAAGCCTGGTTTCCATAACACCACTACACACACTATCTCCTACATCTTTTGGCGAAGCTGATTTATCGGTAGAATAGAGGAGCCTTCTCAATTGCGTCGTACTCCTTGGGATTTCTAGATATTTTGTTAACTTTTCATTAAATCTTAGGATTTCTGGAATGATATGGAATTTTGAAATGTTTCTATCATGAAAGTGAGCAAATAAGGCTTTTGTTTAGAGCCATTTCCATTCTTTTCCAAAAATAATAGGGTGAATTTCGAATTTAAATATCTTGATATGTGCCCCATGGGCAGATAATAAGTTGTTTGCGTCAGATTACGTGGATTGAAAATGTTGAGCAAGAATATTGCATCTAGATAAATGCCAGGAAATCACACCGTCTCGATTTGCAAATGCTTTTTATTGTGTTTTTATTTGACAGGAGCTCAATCAAATTCATCAAAAATACTTACGCACCCCTCCCCCCCCCCCCCCGAAAAAAATAAGTTAAAAATTAACGCCTATTTTCTATTAAAGTGTGATTTTTATATGCTACTGGAATAATTTTGTTTAAAATACAAATGAAACTAGCGATACTATTTTCAATAGAACATGAACCCAGTCATTTTTTAAGAGATAGCCACTGTGACCTTTAATCTCAACCTGTGAACACCCCATGTTTGGTAGAAGTCTGTCTGATGCAATTGGTCGAATCGTTAGTCACTAGAAATACTTGATAATTTTCACTATAGTGACCCTTGTGAATATTTACCTATAGATTAAGAGTAGATTTTCGTGTTTAGAAGGTCCTAAGGATCATTCTTGGTAAATTTGAGCTCATTTGGGATATTTTAAAAATTTAACCCCGATGACCCCTATGTGACCCCTGATCCCAGACTGGGGTGTAGGAGGTGTCGCCGGTTCTTAATGACGAAATTTGATTGAATTTGGTCCAATGGTTTGACATTAGTAGCATTTTGAAATGTTACTAGAGAGAACAAAAGAATAACCCTTTAATGACCTTTGACCATAAATCGCTGAACACCATAAAGAACCTACCAATACATATGTACCCAGGACAAGACTGTGCTATGTTATTTGTGACAGAAGTCTTTTATTCATTTTTTTGAAAGTTTTTTACCCTAATGACCCCTATGTGACCTTTGACCCCAAGCAGTGAACACCCCATATATGAAAGGTGTCACCGATTATGTTTGGTAGAAGTCTGTCTAATGCAATTGGTTCAATCGTTAGTCACTAGAAGTACTTGATAATTTTGGTCACTATAGTGAAAATTATCAAATATTGCTAGTGACTAACGATTGGACCAATTGCATTAGACAGACTCCTACCAAACATGGGGCGTACACAGGTTGAGGTTAAAGGTCACAGTGGTTATCTCTTAAAAAATGACTGGGTTCATGTTCTATTGAACATAGTATCTCTAGTTGTTTTTTTGTTTAGATTCAATCTTAAGAGTTTTAATTTTCCTCAGTGGTCACGCTGGTTGTACTTGTGCAACTATATGCAGACAGTTTAACAATCTTATGTAAACCGTATTATGGAAATGTGTTTTTTACGTGGTATAGACCCTCCATCTGTGAAAGTCTCTTCCTGGGTCACCTCAATTTCAAATTCATGGATCTGCCACTGAAAACTCTGTTCAGATATCCTGCCCCTATTTTTTTTTTATTAAAAAAAAGGAAGAAAAAGAAAATTATATTAAGTCTGAGAGTGCTATTTCCGGCCATCTAGAGGTACCATAATCATACATTTTCTTACCTCAGTCCCAACCATGGTGGGGTTGAGGTATTATAGATCCTCCATCTGTGAAAGTCCCTTCCATGGGCCCTCTATTTTAAATTGCTGGATCCGCCTATGAAAACCGTTTAATACTGTTCATATTGAATTTTTAGAATCGATAAACTGAGACCTCAAATTATAAAAAAAAATATCTGAACTCTGACCCCTCGACACCCTTAGACCCCCTACCCAACCATTTTGGTACTCTCTACAAATTCGCACCCACTCAATAAAAATCCTGTTTACGGGCCTGTCTTTATGGATTTCAGGTAATTCAAAGACGTCGTGACATTATCGTAGACTTCAACCAACCTTGGGAAGAATTCAAAAACGGGTTTGGCAATTTGTGCGGTGACATGTGGATTGGAAACCAGTTCCTCCATGAGGTAACAACATCTGGAGAGTTCAAACTACGTTTGGATTTGGAAGGCATTGACGGAAATACGTATCACGTTACACACAACTCGTTTAAAATCTTGGACGAAAGTCAAGACTTCAAACTGAACATTGGGGAAATCATTGACGGTAATGCTGGTAAGTCTTCAAATTTCACTTTATGTAGAAAGTGAATAGATGTTCAGAAACATATGGCCCATCCTACAGACAAGTAGAAACGAAAATCACTATTCACAAGAATTAAGTCTTGAAGGCTTGCATGGCGAAGTGACAATAATAATTGATCATGCCTATGCTTTCGGTACACCACGTGCTACAATTTATCTCAATTGTTATAGACCTATTTGATTTTGAGAAGAACCGTTTGGATTCGTATATTATGAGAATGACAAAATATTTTAATTCGGCTGGTCACTGTTTTAGAATGAGTTAGTAGACCATTGTCTAAATCGAAAAAAGTCGGAAAGATAAAGAAAATATCTGTGTACCCAAGGGAGTCAATCCGTTTTAAAAAGTGGGGGGGGGGGAAACTAACACCTTGGCTGAAGGCCCGAGCCATGCATGGCTGGTGCCGGGGGCCCCAGGGCCAATGGTGGGATCCAGGGGAATAGTCCCGGTGCGGGACCGAGGGTCGAAGCTTCCCGGAAGCTTCGGTATTTATAAGTCAAATTTAATTGATTTTAAGCCCGTTTCATTTCATTCCCATTTATGTTGTAAACTACATAGGCCTATATACAAAATAATAATTTTTCGAACCATGAAAACAAATAAAAGAACTTAAAACAGCCACTCAAATCTAGTATATTGCCTTGACTTTTTTTTCTTTCCTAATCAAGGTTTGTATGCACTAAAACTTTCGGATATCAAAATAAAACATTTACAATTTAATACGTATACGTCTGCGTTGAAATTCCGGTGTTCTCTGGCGTAGGAAAGTAACTGACATCTTTACAGTTTAAAGCAGCATACACTAAGCTATGGTTAATGTTCAGATCAACGTTTGTTCGAATTACGACTACACTATGGGTGGAGGGTGGAATACATCTACCGTGAAGTTTACGATCATGTACAGGACTAGATAGGAAGCATACATAAACTATTAGGTTAAGTACAAGAGCACTATTATTTCATAAACATGAAGGTTATTGTTAACACAAGGTACAGGCAAAACTTAATTTAGCTCGCGACGTCATCGGTGAGATTGAGTAAACCTAACACTGGAGTTAAATTTGAGGAACCACTACTTAAACAATTGAAATTCATAATATGCCTACTAACCATTGTATATTGTTTAAATACTGTACATTTGGGTTTGGCTAATGTATGTATCCGTTATGCTGTGGTTGTGGTCGGGTGAGACTGCACTGCACTGCGGCTGCCGCTGCTTACCAGGAACCCAGTCCAAATGTCACATTTCTAATTAGGCCTACAGTGAAGACGAATAAAAAAATAAAGAATTATTCCCGTAAAATCTTGAATTGAAACCCTATGCTTCTTTCTTTTTGCAAACTTTGGATGGGCTTTATTTCATGATGGGCTTCCTTTCGAACCTACTTTTCAAAGTAAAGTGGGTGGTGGGGTGGGGGAAAATTCTTTTCAAAATGAATGCTCTAAATGTTGTGAATTTGTACAATTAAACAATAAATAAGGCTAAGGTAACATCAATCTGTATCATGGAGTGTATTTAACTGGCATTCAATAACCTAAGCTACTGTTTTAAACCAAGCTTGTTCTTAATTTATTTTGTTTTCTGAAATTCATGCAGTATTATCTCGAAAAGTAGCCTATGCTCTCTTGAAAAGAAGCCCATGGGCTTCCTTTCGAGGCTAATTGTGCAAACTAAAGAGGGGGCTTCAATTCGAGATGGGCTTCCTCTCAAGATTAAGCCCACTGGGCTTCAATTCGAGGTTTTACGGTATAGGGAATAATATTAAACACTGTACTGTACATAAAAAGAAATGAATCGTTTATAGTAGAAATCATTTTGAACTGAAATGTAGGCCTAATTGGTTTATACCTTTCCAAAAACTTTAACGCGTTTTTCTGGGCATCTATTGATAAATTCTTTAGCTATTATATTTAGCTAGATTAATAGCATCTAGCAAGTCACGACGTACATGACAGACCATGAGATAATTAAGCATTTCTTGCTCCATTGTGCACCTTTAAAATCATGGTGGAAGAATGACAGCTCATTATCCATCGAAGCGTCCAGTTCTGGGTATTTTGATATGATCTCGGCATTGAACACACCAGTTAACAATATATTACTCAAAGCTATGTATTCTTCAATATCCGTCGAAATGAGGTATTTTCTCAAATTTAAGATGGCGCTATCAATTCTTTGAAAATACTCTTTTCTGTAGAATTCTTGAGCAGATGTAGGGCAATACGAGTGTTCTCCATCTTTAAATCTTCTTGGAATGTTCTTTGTCTTGGAAGAGAAACTTTCTCTAAGCCACATTTTTCAAGTGCATTTTCAGCTGCAGTGGAAATCTCACTGAACTTATCATCGGAGCGTAGTGCTTGGAGTGTTTTCTCTGTCATTTTTGCAGCTTGTAGCATGCTGTCAACAGTTGTTTTTCTTCCTTGTAAACCCTTATTCAGTTGCTCGAGGCATTCCACAATATCCAATGAGGCAAACATCCCGAGAACATACTTTGGTGACGATAGGCTTGCTAGAAGACCACTGGCCTTGGCAGCAGTTTTGACTGCAAACTGATCAGCAGCTTGCTGGAGTGCATCCAACACATTTCTGTAATTGTTCTCCACGCATTAGCCAACGTGTTGGGCAAATTGGTTTTATGCGTGAGGGAGAAGGTGTGTCAGTTTCACCTGCATTCATGTTCTTATACATGGCTTTAAACTTTCCCGAACTCCTAAAGAATACTCCAAGTTCTTGCACAGTGGCCAATGCATCTCGCATAAATGGTGAAACTTGAATAGCTTTGGAGGCAACAAGATATGTGACATGAGCGCCACAATGCACATAACTAGCAAGTGGTTGTACCTTTTTTTTTTTATTTCAGCTTGACAGCCTTTGTACTTGCCGGACATATTGCTTGCGCCGCCATACGTCTGGGCTCTTAAATTTTCAATAGGCAATTGGAGTGCCAGCAGTATGCTTTTCAGCATTTTGCACAGTGCCTCTCCTGTTGTTTCATCGACATTGTACAATCCAATGAATTCTTCCTTTACATCAAAATCCTTGTTTACATGGCGTACGCAAATACATTCCTGTTCTTTACCAGTTATATCCTGTGTACCATCTACTATTACAGCGAACTCTGAAGATGATACTTCACTACAAATTTTCCTTAGTACAGAATGACACATCAGTCTTAGAATCTCATTTTGGATTTCACCACTTGTATATGTTGTTGCTCTGGATAGCCATGACTTTAAATAATTTGAGTCCTCAAATTACCCTCTGAAGTGCCCTTTCTCCTAATGGCAAGACATTGTTGCGCCAAGTACTTCAAAGAGGACATTATCTTGAGAAGTGCTGAATATGCTAACTGCTGGTCTTCTTTCTTCTTGTTTTGCAGCTGTGTAGACACGTTGCATGTTTGTCTATGGAGCATCCTTTCCTTTGAGGCGATCTTGTGTGCATGAGATCTTTTATGTTTTTTAAACTTTTCTATTGCTTTTTTCCAATTATTGAAACCTCTGACAACGAAGGTGTCCTCTGAACATCGTGCCATTCGGTTAGGATTTAGTTTCACTGCACTAACACAAGTGTGGCACAAACAGTTTTGAGGTTATGATCAAAATGTAGCCATGGGTACTGCTCTAAACCAATTTTGTTGGAAAGTCAACTTTCTGTTTGTTAGTATTTGCACAGGTATGCCATCTTTTGGATGGACTGGATCAACTAGAAAATCATTCTTGATATTAGGCCTTGACGTATACTCCATAGGGGAATCGCTTGAATAAGACATCTTTCTGGCTATCTGCAACATGTTCAGGTGGCTCTGATGTATGGTTATTGGCATCGGTTGGTTCACCTGTTAAAAATAGAATTTGTTTTATATATGTACAGTAATTATTATTCTATATATAATTGACGACCTACTCGCCATGGTTCATAATTACATTTCAAAGATCATTTCAAACACTTATCTTGTGGTGCAATATTTAAAAAAGCAATAATGTTTATACTTTACCACAAAAACAACGGTACACTGCACAAGATTAAAGAATACTAAATATGCACTGCCACTGCTTGTATGGATACGGTACGTGTGCATGTATGTGCTACTAGCTCTTACCTAGGCTAATATAGTGTATCTCTCCTATTTGTCCGAATAGCATTTGACCTTCTGGATTCAAACTTTCGTTAATTTTCGTGACCAAGTAACCCTCCTCTGTGCTAACTCTTTGACTGGTCACGATGTAGAAATCATGATTTAATATTCGTGATATCCCTCTCATTGCTATTTCGTCAACATAAGTACCGTTTTTACCCATATTACTTAGATAGTCTTCATCTATAAGGGCAAACAGTGGGTCGTCTTCATCCTGGAAAAATAAAGATTGCAAATAAAATTGATCACAATATACAAAATAATATCGTTAAACAACATCAGATGGAACAGCACTTACCAAATGTCGTAAGTAATTCACTAAAGCAGTCCTCATTTCTGTACTAGATCGGTTTGGTAAACCCAACCTCTCAAGCTGATCTTGGATGCAGTATAAGAAACAGTTTCCATCACCACGAACATCCTTTCTTATATACATGTTTGATAACGTTATGTTCTCTTTCAAACGGTTATAGAAACTTATGTATGTTTCACAATCTTGTTTATCAACCGCTATCCTATTCCCTGAGAGAAAAATGCACACTGGGGTGTATACTATCATAAAAGTAATATAATAAAAATATTACAACAAACTTTGGATTACTCTGTAAACTGTAGTGAATATAAATAATATTTCTCTATGCAAATACCAAAACATGTCAGTCAAATATCATAATTGAATCATGTTTTTATATATTATACTATCAGCATAATACAATACTGTACAGAGAGCATGTAGGCCCTAAATATAATCAATTGTAATATGACATTATGTATATTGTTTATATTATGTATAGTTAATATTCATCATCTTAAGCCTATAGTTGTATAGTATAAATGTATATACAAGGTATTTTAATGTAAACATTGTAAACATGACACGGTATTTGTATACTGACCTGGTGACACCTGTGACGGAAGTTCTTTTTCGGACTCGGGTGTAGATTTTGCAGGTTTTCTTGTTAATTTCGGAATCGTTACCAGTTACTTTTTTTTTAAAAAGTACTTAGTAGTGGTTGTTCAGTACGCCCATCAGGCCGTACATCAGCGTAAATATACTTCATTGTGTTATTTATTCATTTGAACTCTGTATACATTGTATTTAAAACCCTGTTTCTCAAAGTGTCTCATTATACACAGGGTAATGTGTATACACTCTCATTTAAGCGCCGCGGCCATGGGCGTCGATCGATGGTGACAGTCAATTGGGGGGGGGGAGGTAGGAAATCATATCAATATTTTTCGTTTTTTAGGACCAAAACCGAGTAAAAACACAATTATTTGAATAATTCGTAACCATCTCAGTAACCACTCCATCGATTTTATGGGTGCAACGGTTATCAAATTCTAAATTTATTGTGAAAACAATGAACTATACGTTGTTAAAATTAGAAGCGTTTAAACCTTTAGGCCAACATTTTTACAAACTCCAAAAATACACAATTTTTACTATAAATGATTTATTCCTTCTGTATATTAGGACCCGTGTTTAATATTATCTGCATAATACATGGATTCATGTTTTTCCTAATTTAAAAAAAAAATATAGGTAGAAAATTGAACTCCGATGTTACGTTGACACAGTCTCGCCATGACGTCATGATAAATTAATCACTTTTATATTTGTGAAATAAAAATGCTGACAATGTTTTGTGTGAATTCCTCTTCCTAGTTTGATCGTAAATTAGACGGTAGTATTTCCACTCACAATAGTATAGTCGCAATACTACTAGCACAAAGGTGAAATTCAAAAAGAGAAAAGGATTGATTTTAAAAGTAGTACTTAGTACATGTTTTATCTTGTTTGAGGCTTGCCCTTTATTTTTAACCTATTTTTATTAAAACATTTGTACAACAGGTGGTGTGTTCAATACTGCTGTCGATATGCGATTTTCTACTAAGGATAGAGATAATGATCTGCATAATCGCTTGTCATGTGCAAATGATTACAGAAGTGGTTGGTGGTACAAAAAATGTTTCATTTGTTTGCCCAATGGTAGAGTTGATGTGAACTTCAATTGCAAAATAAATGACAAAAAACTAGAAATGAAAATGGCTGAAATGAAGATTAAGAATTACGGGTAGAACCTATTTATTTGGGAATAGAAACTTCAGGTAAAAAATGTATCTTTATCTATTTTCTAAAGAAAATGATTATATTTTGCAATTTTTAAGTGACCATTTTAATACTACTAATTATAATAATAAGTGACACTCACAATTTTTTATTTTATTGATGTTGTTGTTAGCTTGGTATTTTAATTGTTTTTTTTTTTAATTTTAATGTAATGTTTTACTTACGGTTCTGAAGATTTTTTTAATACGTTAAAGTTGTGATTATGATGCAAAATACGGAAAAACAGCAATGTTGACTAAATGACGGTTGAGCGGAATTTAATTTGTAAACGTAGCAATTAATGAGTAAATTCTCGTAGGATTATGCTCCATGAAATAGGCCTATATAGATAAATGGACACTAGACTGGTAGGCAGTAAATGTATTAAAACAGTTAATTACAAATTGTGAACTGCTATTCACCATCAGTGTTAAAAAATATCAGTATATCGTTTTAGTCTACCTAACCATAATGCCAGTGACATGCGATATATTATTCTACAAAGTAATTTCATATCTACCAAAGAAAGACGTAGTGCGGAAATCCGTTGGATTCTCCGCCTAAAAACCCCGAAAAAAGGTCTTAATAAGGACATGGGCTTTGCCAGTGAATATACATTCATCAAAGACATTAATTAAGCAAGCCTAAACTTTGTTTACTCCAGCCCTATTTCATTTCCTGTATATTTATTTTGACTATGCTACAGACTTCACTATATATTTATTTTATATCATATTATATATTTCTGTTCCATATTTTTATCCATATAATGCTTTATTTTACCTATTTATAATTTTCCATTTCCTGCGTATATCCTATTTCTCTATTTGTTTAGAAGCCATCCCCTCACAGTCAGCATATCGTGGGAACAGCCATTATCTCCTTTCTCATTCCTTATTGTTTATCTATACTCAGCATTAAGACATTGTCTTTGCTAGTAAGCTTTCTTACTTTAGATAACAACTCAGCTCTCTAGTTAATTC